GAGCTGTTAGCTGTTAGAATGTTAGCTGACCAGCTGCTAGCACTGGTCCTTACCAGCTTCAGCTGGCTATTTATAAGCACCCCACCCCTTCGCCACAAAGGGGTCTCTGTACTTGGTTGGTAGGTGTCTCTGGGCTCAGGTCGCTTCCTGGATCTAGAACCCTTTCAAGGACAGCCTGCCTAGTACGCATTGTATGCTCCCCGAATATGCCTTGTATCACCAGGCTAATTAACAATATGGTAAAATATTATGTTAAATTTAACACTAAAACTGTCCAGCTCACATGAAGAGCCTACTCGTCTATGTGGCGGCTCCTAAGCAGACAGAACAAGGTAATAAAAAAATAAAATAAAATATTGAACACTATGGCATTGTTTTTATAGGTACACACAATTGACACCAGTAGTGTTGATTTTACACTGTGAATTTCTATTTGTACACTTGCAGGTGTTGATTACCTGTTTTTATTTAATGGCAAAAGTTATGTTCTGAGAGTGTTAACTCAACACTACTGGTGTAAGTGGAGTAAGTCTGTAAAAACACTCTCACTGTGTTAGATGTAACAATTTGTTAGTTGAATGAACACACTGTGTTTATGGCAGACCTTGGCAGCGGAGGGTACGGGTTGGGGCTCTTATGTAACTCAAATAATATTAGAATAAACACTGGGGCAGTGTTATATAGGTTCACACAATTGTCACCAGTAGTGTTGATTTTACACTGTGAATTTATCTTTGTACACTTGCAGGTGTTGAATACCTGTCTCAAAAGTTCTGTTGTGAGAGTTGGTGTCATTTTATGTTAAACAGTCGAATCCTGTGTTAAATCAACACTACTGGTGTTAGGTCTTTAGACATATATTACATGTAACACTAGGTGAATTGTATTAACACCTAATTAGGTTTTTAGGTTGCTATTTCAACTTATCTTGAGTTACATTTGACACAGGGGTATTGTTTACATAGGTACCCACCAGCCGCCAGTAGTGTAACTTTAAGGGAGTATACGTGAAGACAAAGTGTTCGTTCTTTATGGGATCTATCACTTTAACAGGACTCAGAGCACTTTGAGTCCTCGACTCGCCCAGAAGAGGGATCTGATCCCAGACTAAAAATACTCAGAGTGACTTCATACAGCAGCGGAAAACAACACACCACCTCGTGTGTAAGCTGCTTCAGTGAGGATCCTCTCTGACCAGTCACCATTTAGTTTATAGTATTGTTACTGGAATACAAAAATGTTATGCTTTGGAAAGTGTGCCTTTCAAGTATAATTCAGTTTTTGTACACAATGTGTTATTTTTGCTCTAACGGTTTCGTTTATGAAACATGGAACCATCCTTTACATGACCAGCAAGTGCCTATCATCAGCCAATGACTGATGGAGTTGGTGTAACATGGTTATATCACATTATCATCACTACAATCAGAAAGTAGCATGATGCTAGTTGTGATTTTATTCATTATTTTTTCTATGTGTCCTTTGATTTCTTCTGTCTGTAGTCATTCTTCCTGTTCGTCTTCTTTCCTATTTCCATTGTGAAGTCGCTTTGAAAATGAGCGCTCTAAAATTGGCTCTTTTACGTCATTCTCATGTCATCAGAATAGCCAGCTTTCGTTGGTGATTCTCCTTGCGAAAAATCAATTCGAGATGGCAGAACTCTTTCATTGGTACCACTCGTTTGGTCAGATTTGTGAGCTACCATTGGCGCCCATGCTTTTTGGCACATTTTCGGATCGGTCTGTAGAGGCCTGTAGGATTATTGAGCACAACCAATGAGACTACATTTGCAGACAGGGACATCCTGGAAGGAGCAGACCATGGTGAACACGAGAGGGAGCCACATCGAGTAAACCTCCACTGGTGCTAACCTATGCGACACAGATTGGTTGCAGAGTCAGTGGACCCGGCTGGACATCACCTCCCCTGGAACCTGTGCTGCAGCACATTGGCCGTCCACGCCTAAGGCAAAGTCCCTATTGGGTCATGCCTTTTTGTTCTCAGCCACCCCTGGAGTCAGGAATTCCAGCACATTGGGAATCTAAACCACTGCCTCGGGAAAACAGCTAGGTCGAGGGCTTTTTTTCAAAGTTTAAAAAATGTATTACTTTTACAATCATGCATTTAGCAGACATTTTGCATCATATTTTGATCTTGACATGGACTGCAATGGGGAGCCAGTGGAGAAAGTTGAAAAAAAGAATGATGTGTGCTCTTCTTGGTTCCATGGAGATCAATCAGGCCACAGAGTTCTATCATTGACAGGGTCGGACTGTGCAGGAAGGAAGTCCAGCAAGAAGAGCATTGCAGTAATCCAACTCATGATCACCATCCGTGATCTCTGAATGTTAGTTGCCCATCAGAGATCACTTCCGGAATAAGGGGTGATGGGAAGATGGTTGACGACTCCAGTTGTATGGTGCAGTCATGCTGGAGTTAGATTGGCAGGAATAACTAGCAGCTCTTTCCTACCAATTTAGTCGTCATTCATACCACATCGATCACTCAGATCCGCACTAGTTGATAATACAACCATGTGATATCATACGGGCCACTCATTGGTCACATCATCACATGGGTTTCCTCAATGGCTTTTCGATTGGTTAGAATGAACTTGCACATGGAAGTAAAGAACAGAGCACAGAATGCAGGAAGACTTGGACGAGGCACTCAAAATGGACTTCGCTGTTTGATTTTGACCATTGGCATCTTTTACTATATCATTCGTGTTAAACACAAATGATGTTCGAAAAAAAACTTCTCCATGTTTGACCGCACGCTGCCATGACAACTGTTGCTTAAACAAACGTCAACCCTTGATATCACACCAAAGTGAGTTTACGGTGGTTGCATTCGTTCAAAAAAAGCATTTTTCGTAATTCTCTTTTTTTTCAGTCTGGATCATAGTTTGATCACGTTCTCACCACAAATGAACCGCTCTCGAGTTCCCTTGGAACCGTACTGAGACCACCTCTTCGAGCAGGTGCCTGACTGCTTTTGGCCTGATTTTTACCGATTTTTGCTTCCTCACCTGTCCAAATTAAAGGGAAAATGAAATCTAGTGTATTTGAATCAAACTAAACAATTCAGATGTGGAACCCTCCTGCAACCTGGAAGGCCAAAGCTGCCTTTGCCTGATGTACGGTATCAGGTGTCAACTTAGTTCTGACATCAGTTTTTCTTGCTAGTGTGTGATTTAGCACATGTAGTGATAAAGGCGATTTAGAGTCTAAATGAATATAGTGTGTACTTCAAGAAAGCCTGGAATTGTTATCTAGCTTTGTTTTGAGCTCATATTATCAGTACAAATTGTACTGATTTGGCTTCAGAGAGATTCTTTTGATCTTTGGACACACCCTGGAAAGCATACATACTGTTAGCTCAAAAAGTTTACGTTTAGAGCTATTCTAGTTATTTATTACAACAACAGAAAAATCCCAACGTGGTTAGCTCTTTAATCCCATATCACACACCCTCATCCCAGCTGTAATCTTTTCAGTTTAATCTCAAAGCGCTAATGCCATTTGCAATCAGATACAGTGCTGCTATCAAAATGGCTCCATTCATGATCTTCCCATTTTGCACTTTGGCCGCATGCTCTGCACCCTGAATCAGCTGTCTCTGGCAACATTGCAGCACAAGTTAAAGTTCCTCTGCTAGTCCAGTTTTTGAAGCCACTGTGAAACGATATCGACGTCACAAGAGGAACGTCCCGCCTCCATCACGAGCTCCACCAATCACAGTGAGAGCCTTAGACGAGCCTTCAGCGCCTTCCCCAAATCTATTAAAGCTCACAAGAAAAACGCGAGTGACAGACAGCTCAGCAGTGTAAACTACACACTGAAGAGAGAGAGAGAGAGAGAGAGAGAGAGAGAGAGAGAGAGAGCATGAACAGCCATGAGGCGCCTCGGCTCTCAAGGGCACATTTAACTGCACGTGAAGCGTTCTTCACCACGAAAGAAAGAAGTCTACGTTCATTTTAAGCGTTAAGGATTAATGCGAGATATCCTGTGAGGTAAGTTTGCTTTTTCTAAGCATTTTTTGCAGCGTCAAATAGACTCGTGCACGCGCAGAAAGTGTGCGCAACTATTTGAGTCTTGAGGCGAATATGGGAAAAAAAGTATAAATATATATAAGTATAAATAATATAAATAAGTAACTATATGTATATAAATAAGTGAATGATAAAATTAAAATAAATGCGTGTAATAAATAAAAACATATTTATTTTATTGCATTGATTCATGCTTATAACTGCTTATTATCTTTAAAATATTATCGCATAAAGTTTCTGTATATTGCACATAATAATAGACTTTTTAAACATTTTTCAAAATTTGACAGTGTCTAAGGGTGTTTGAAAAACAAAGTCTCCTCGAGAGTTTGCAGTGGACACATGTGGGTGTTGACGGTGCCTGTATATGTCAGGGTTATTCTCGGTCATTCTGCTGCAGATAGGGGGCGCTAGAGTGCCCACCATGGTTCAACGCCATTCACAATGTCCAGCACTGATTAATGAAGTACTTCAGCCATCCGTGAAGGAGCTCGATGACTGATTTATAGACTAGTCTTTAAAGACAACTTTTAAAGATAGATTTTCCATGAGTTGTGTTATGCCTCATGCGTGTTTGTGCCATTGGTATATTGTTTTAAAAAAATTGGTATACAGCAGAGACTCATAAGCTCAATACTTTTTTGGAAGGTGAACTCTAGTTTTTTAAGTTAACAGAACAGAACAATGGAAATTTAACTGATAAATATAATTTGAGTACTGTTAACTTAGGATTTGTCTTATGAAATGTTTTGAGGTTTCTAGCTTCTACAAATGTTTTTGAGATCACGTTTTTGGAAGTTGGTTTAACATAAAATCTTCCCATTACTGGCTATTTTTCGGTTGGTTCTCGTCTTTCTTGTGACTCAGTTAGAAGAGCGTTGCACTAAAATATCTTATTCCAAGGAAATGCAAGAATTGACCAAATGTGCTTTCCTGACCAAAAAGCTCTCCTGTGGCTCAGTTGGTAGAGCATTGTGCTAACAAAACAAAAGTTGTGGGTTCAAATACCCTCCAAAAATGTGTTAATTATTTGAAATGTAAGTTACTTAGATAAATATGTCTAGCATATTCTTTTTTCCTACTTTAGTGTGTAGGCAAATGTTTTTTTATCTAGCAAAGACAATGACTTATTTGCGTTTAAGCAAAATAAGGCAGACTATTTTATTACTTGATCATAATTCGAACCTGTGGCTTTGATGTTGCTAGTCCATGCTCTACAGATTGAGCCATAGGATTAGACTAGAACTGTTTATGTAAACATCTTTAAAGCACCCAGAGCAAACTAAATGTTATCTCACATAACTGTATCTTTTATGTGAATCTTTGTGTCCAATTATAACCTGTTTCCAATCAAGCTAGGCCTTTGTGCAAACAATGCTATCCTGTCTAAAGAGTGGTTAGCTTTCAGTAGAAGGTTTAGTGAGCCAGTGGTTAACAAATCAGCTTATAATTGCTTTGAAGTTTATTTCAAAGTTTATCATTTATTGTTATGCTTGCACGAAAACTTTTAAAATGATTGCTAATCCTACTTTTTTTTATCTATTCTTTTATAGAGAGTGACCTGAATCATTTATAGGAGACATCTACAAGTGGCCACCTTGCTTTGGACAGTAGTCGCCAGGAATGGTGGATCACTTGCTACTTGGTGAAGAGACTTTCTTTACGTACACCTGTTTGCTGCCACCTCAGAATACATCGGATATGGTGACAGACGGGGGGGTGTACCATATGCTCCCGTCTCCATTCTCAGAGGATAACCTGAGTGACTCGTCTAGTCCACGTTCCTGCTCAAGCCCTGAGTCTCAGGTGTTGGGCTCTAGTTGTGGGAGTAACTCAAGTGGGGAAAGCCAAGATGGCCTCCTGGACTTTCTCCACTCTCAGTCCCTGACACTGAGCCAAAACGGTCCGTCCTCTAATACAATGTCTCCCATGGTTCCACCTGTCCTTCCCATGGGTCTTGCTTGGGAGTCCCGACGGGACCGCACCAAAGAGGAGTGCTTTGAGTTCCCTGTTTTTCCCGGAGATTTGGAGGACCACGCCGGACTTCTTTTCCAGCCAACTCTGGAGGAGATTGAGGAATTCCTTGAGGAAAACATGGAGGTGGTGGCATTGAAAGAGGAAGCTGGTGAAGGCCTACTGAGCTGTGCAGGCATCCAAGAAATTAATGCAGAACCATGGGATCAAAGCCTAGACCAAACAGTGCCTGTCTTGAGTAACTTAGTCGAAGCCAACTCTGAACCCAAAACTGTTCAATCGACAGGCGGAAACTCTGCAAGCCCTCAAAGCACACTGAAAAAAGATGAGTCTTCTGAGAAGGTTGTGATGGTAGAAAGTCCTGGTATGCCTGTCATCCTACAACTCCAACCCGTTCAAGTGAAACAGGAATCAAGTCCAAAAACACCCCCATCGCCAACAACACCACAACCTGCCTCGGACATCAAAATAGCCCAGCTCCTTGTGAATATCCAGGGGCAGACCTTTGCCCTGGTTCCTCAGGTGATTCCACCAGCAAGCCTTAACAATTCTTCATCCAAATTTGTCAGAATCGCCCCAGTTCCCATCGCTGCTAAGCCATTAGGTCTTGGGGAAAACGGAACAGGTGATGGCCAGGGGGGCCTTGTAGTTGGGGGTCACAAATTCCAGAAGAGCCTGGTAGCTGATCTAATTAAAATGCACAAGTGTACTTTCCCTGGCTGTGCCAAGATGTACACCAAAAGCAGCCACCTTAAAGCCCACTTGAGGAGACACACGGGCGAGAAACCCTTTGCTTGCACTTGGCCTGGCTGCGACTGGAGGTGAGTGTTTACTGTCGGCCATAAAACATGCTCATCTCATTTCTTGGTTTAAAAAAAGTGGTGTTGACAGATTAGGAAAAAAGATGTACAGTAATAAATGTGTTTACTGTTGTGGTTACAACACCGTGGTTGCTTTCAAGGTCTGCAAGCTTCTGCCTCAACAAATTGTAGTCATTGCGAAAGTGGTGAGGTACATTGTTATCTTTGTTGACCATCCATGAATGAACTTCAGACTGGTTAGGAAGGATTCCGATTCTGAATTACACAAACCAGCTGAATGAATGGTTGGATTGGAAAGACTAAGCATACGATGGAGACTCTTTAGAATATTGATGATTATTTAAACAAACAAACAGGTCAAATACAATGGTATAGTTTTATAGTCCTTCTACAGTTGGTTGCTCGGTCTGCAGAGTTATTATTGCTCTGATAACTTTGTTTTTGAGACTGTAAATTTCATTCAGAATTTTTGCCTTATTTTGTGTTATCTCTGCAGTTTGGAGATTAGATAAAGTCTTTGAAGAGACAGACTTTGTCCTATTCACCAGGCCATTTGTTTACTCTAAGTCTATGGCCAGGTCCAATCTCTTTGAGCAGGCCAGGATACTGTGTAAAGTTCAACAGCAGTTGTAGTGAGGTCAGGACCGACATGACAGATTAAGCTTCAATTGAGGATCTTTGGCAGAGAGGTTGGTTCTTGAATATGTGTTTGCTTACTCTGGAGGAGATATCTTTAATTGACTTGCATTGGGGATCAATTTTAATGTGCACAATCTTCGGCCATATTGCCTAGTAATATCCCTGATTTAGCTTTTAACAGGTTCATGGTCCCTTTCACAGCTTTTGTCAATGATCAACTGCTTTGCTTAGTTCCACATCCAACTTTTTCTTTCCTTTCACAGATTCCCAAATAATTGTAAAAAGCACAACAGCTTAGAACTGCCAAGAAAGGGGCCACACGATTTGCTTAAAATTATTTACTGTTCAAGAGGTCTCTAGTTATCAGTGACCTTGGTTAGCCTGGCTTCTGGACAGTAGTTGGCAGGAACTGTCCTTCTGCAGTCTGCAAGTCTGGCTGAAATTTCCAGTCCACTGTCAGGAAATGGAATCAGAGAAGAAAGCAGCAGAAGAATGCCCCGATGGTTGCCTCCACCAATGCTTTGTGAGGATTTTTAGCATTCCTTTGGTGCTCCACAAATAAAGTGACAGAAACACACAAAACTTCATCTTGGATTGGAAATTTCTTAGAGCTCCAAGTACAGTGGATGTTAAGAAATGTGGTATTTCAACATAAAACATACCTGGTGGCTTGGCGTTTGAATGCATTTTTGAATCAAACCAAGACATACCTTGTGTTATGTTGAAAATGCACCAAAGAGTCCAAAACCTTGATGGAGTAATGGAATTGTTTCAGTTTGCACTATCAACTTAGTAGTAGCACAAGCCAAACTAGTGTGAGTTTACATTGAAAATAAGGATCTGCTGGTTGTACATTTGTTGGGATGTTCATAAAGTGAACTGTAGAGCATGTTCAAACAGCTCAGTTTGACAGCTTTGACATCCATTAAGGAGGGGCTCATCATCCCAACCTATCCCACAGGGGATAGCTGAGTCCTCCAACATCCCATCCCAAAACTCTCTTGCATACCAAAGCTATCAGAGAATTCAAAACTTGAATCTCTTGAATGAAATAAGACTTCATAATCTCTGCAGGGCTTTTGTGGTTTGGACTTGAAACGAAGCTAGCACTCCACCGTTAGCTTAGCTACAAGTGAACTTTTCCTGCCCAAGCTTGTTATAAACCTGGAAGAAAAGCTTAGCAGGAGAGATAGGGAGAGAGCCTTGATGTGTTTTTATAGCCTTGGAAATACTCTACACATGTTCCCAGGACATTGGAAACAGATACCACCTCGCCTATAGCTTCATATGAAACCGTCGCATGGGGTTGAGCAAGAATTTGTTTCCCTGCTTTTCTCATTTCAAACAGAAGTACACCCTCTCTTCAAACGCACATTATTACGTAACATGTCAAGTGGTAGTAAAAAGCTGACAGCTATTTTGTACACCAGAGGCTTAGTAGAGTCTGCACAAGGACTGTGCTTTTACCAAAACAGCAAAGTGAGGAAGAATGCTTCCACATTTCTTTGAAATAGATGTTTCTGATCGCTGGCTCGAGAAAACATTAACAGTTGTGGGGATGGTGTAAATCTTCCTTTGGAACTTGAGCACTGGGTTAAGCTCTGGGTTAAATATAGTTGCTCATTAGATCTGCTTCGAGCTCAAGCCATTTGCTGCTCTGTAGTAAATACACTGAGCGATTGTTTGACAATCTTAATGGGCTGTGCAGGAGCTGCGTGTCAGATTCTTCAATTCAAAGCTTCTAAAAGAGAGTGCAATGTTTTTTTCCAAGTAAATCCAGCACTGTTTTCACTTCTTATCCCATTTCACAGCTCCTACAAAATCTCAGTGTAGGCACTGGGATAGACTAACTGTGGACCCTGGGTTTATTAACAATATACGGACCATTTTGTGCCGGAAAGCTTTATTTTGTGGTCTCTTTACATAATTTTGAGGTGTTTTGGATTGAGAAATATGGTATTTTGTATAAACCAAGTAATTTCTGATCCAAATAAACGTAGTTTGCAAAGATGAATGAGTAAAAAGAGCTAAAAGTCCAACAAACAGAATAATGTTTCAGGATCATGTTGACTTCAAAACAACTGTAACCGCAGCATGTGGGCCCTCTTTCTCTTTTTTTGGACGGTAATAAATCTAAATACCAGTGAAGGCAATAAGAATAGCAGCGCAGCAGCTTTCCCAATGCCTATTGTTCACAGATGAATTGAAAGGCATCAGTAGTCAGACGTTGATATTGAGCTTGATCTCTGGATGTTTCTTGCAGATTCTCCAGGTCGGATGAGCTCTCACGGCATCGGCGCTCTCACTCTGGAGTTAAACCCTACCAGTGCCCCGTCTGCGAGAAGAAATTTGCCCGCAGCGATCACCTGTCCAAACACATCAAAGTCCATCGCTTTCCACGAAGCAGCAGGACAGCGCGCACTTCACATTGACCCCATGGAAAGAGGGAGAGATAGAAAGAGCAAACGAATGAAAGACGGATTCCCTTGTGATACTGTGATAATTTATTACTTGAGGCGACGGATAAACTGAAAAAGAGCTTGTTTTGAAACTGTTACTTGACTCGTCGGCCTCACAGATGTCGTA